TGATTTGGCTCTACTCCTCTCGCTCGAGTTGCTGGAGACCGAAGCGTTTGAGCTAACTATGCTCTGTAGGCTACAAGACTGTAGCCCATCCTCAGACAAGTTACCATTACGTGAATCGGGCAATCTGATATAAAGCCGCTGTTATGAAGGCTTCATCATGAAACAGGTGAACGTCATTACTCACCGTCAGACACGTCATCAGGGAAATGGTCCAAAGGAACACCGTAGTATCGCTTTGCCGCAGCGGATGATTTGTTCTGAAAAGTTAGACCCAATTTCGGGGCAAACTTTAACGATGGCCATGTGAAAGGCGATGATCACTTCCCAGTCACCTGCTTCCCACGGTCAACGTATCCATCCTTTTCCAGTATGAGGCCACCCCTATAACGTAAAAAGCAATCTTGGAAAATTGAAGGATCGGACTTATTGGGCCTGGATGCGAAATACAATGTTATGTCTGGCACCAGCTGGCTGGCACGGACCTTGTGAGTGACTTGGCCATAGAGAAACAACGTTCTATGCCATGGGTCCCAGATGGTGTTACACTCAGTGCAAATAAGTACCGACTTAGGGAGGATCGGCGGCCGGGACCCCTTGCAAAATGACCCCAGTATCTCGATAACTCCGCATGCTCGAGTGAGGCGTGATCGCCTAGAGTAGATTTAAGAAAGACGAGAGAACTTGCGAGTTGAGAGAAATCCCCGGCAGATATCACCTTTGCCGCCATAATAGTCCACAATCTCACTTAGTGAGTCCTGCAAATTGAAGGTTTTGAACTTGGTGCAATAGATTCTAAGGGCGGACATCAAGTCCGAGAATGAAGGTCGCATAGCTCTTTTTGAAGGGTCAAAAGCAAACAACCAGGTCTCTGTCCCTTGAAGAGCCTTCTCTTTCCTGCATAGTCCAAAGTTGACAGAAAACCCCGAAAATCGTACCGGTATCTTATCCACTTCAGTGAGTCGCCATTTAGCAACTCACAGCTTTCTATCTGTGCGTAGACCTCACCCATTCTAATAAGGCCTTGCATGGCAGATATGCCATCATTCTGCAAGTAATCACACAACGTGAGAAGGGGGTGCAAAGCTGAGATGACTGTCTTGAGCTGTGTCTCAAACTGTGGCGTCATTATTGTAGCTGCTTCCTCGTAGGCTTCTCTGGCGGCGGTGGGAAGGCTGCAAACGAGATTGCTTAGCAACTCTTCATAATTATAATTAGTCATTATACGAAGTCGTTAATGTTGTTCTCACTTTTTCCAATATTTTTTCTTTAACAGCTGTAGGAGTCTCACAATTTTCTTGTACTCCTGGTATAAGACGGATATCGATGACAATGCAGACCACCACCGGGTTTCCACCGGGAGAGGAACTAATCGGCCTCGCGTATCCTCTTTGTAGATAGCGGAGATCGATGAGCATCGGAGGAATTTCGCTAATTTGCTCGCAGAAGCCGTTAGAGGAAAGAACTGTCCAGTGTGTGTGATTCGAACCTCTCCATTACTGGACGTCCGACTTTGTCCGAATAGGCGACGGCCCAGAAGGGCATGATGATGCGACAGACAGCCCTGTGATAGGACTGTAGCCGCTCTTCCGTGATTCGTGATCCTGCGGACTCGGTCTATCTTGTTGCGAACGCTGGAACGCTGGAGAACTCCGCCGGTATCTAAGTAAAAGTTGCAACTTGCAACCGAAACGGGAATTCGTGGTAAGAATTTCGTACCTTCGACTGCCACACCATTTAAGATGTTGCATAATGCTACTCTTGTTTTTGTAATACTGCTTGCGTTATCACTCAAGATGCCGCCAACAGTGCAGCCAGCTGAGGAAAGAACCATTGAGAAGACGTACGTGAACTGTTGCACCTATTCGTACGTGGTGTGCAACTAGGTGCAACAGTTACACAACACCTCCTAATAGGAGGAACTATTGACTACACAACTAGATTTGTTGTATAGGAACCTCCTATACAACAGATCTAGTTGTGTAGTCAATAGTTTATCCAACTGGTCCGAGAACATAGGAACGGGCGATTGTGTTACCATCAAGCAGCTCGATCACATCCTCAAGAAGGTTTTGTAACATATAATCCCAAGTCTCTCGTTTCCCTTTCTTCAATCCGATAGTTCTCCATGGGATTGTTCTTATCTTACACCGCTGGCCACTATACATCCCATCCTGGATCCCGGGCTCTCCCCATTGGCCGATGGCTATTCCCAGAACATTTGCTCTTTTGAAAGGCGGGGTCCACCCGTCCACCATTAAAAAAATGGGCAGCCCTCCGGGACTGCCGGAATTTGTTGACAGCTCTATGATCATATCCTTTCTTTCCGCGGCATATAATGCTTTCTTCAGTACAGCCATCTTGTGACGCGTCAACCCATGATCCTTGAAGTCGAACCCCACAATTGGATAGAGCATCCATCGAATCGATTCTCCCACAATGGACCTTTCGCTCCAAGCATTGAGCACATGTGTGAATACCAATCTCTTCAGGAAATCAGATTTATACATATCCGGGTCACTAATCATATGCTGCTCCGAATTGACCTCGTTGACCCTCTTAGAAGAGGCTTGCACACGAGTAGACATGGGAATAATATGATCTAAAAACCGCATGCCAGCAACTGGAAACGAAACATTCGCTAGGAGTTAATGGAAAAGCATAATTCATGCAGTGATATATAATTATTGCATTGCACTCTCAATGACCAGTCACGAGGCCAGAGCAGAGTGTCTGATTGCGATCGGCCAAAGCTTCCTTTATGCCGGACTTGTATCCGATGTGCGGTCTTCAAGCTCTTTAGCTTTGAGATAGATGTCGATGTCAATAAATTCAAACCAGCCATCAGCATACATACTCCTCACTTCTCCCACTGTATAGTGGGGTTTCAAATTCACGTGAATATTCTGGTCCTTGATATCGACATAATAGCGTGGCTTCTTCTGGGGCCCACGACTAGGATACGGTACTATACGAGCATAAACAACTGGGGGCTGTTTAGAGCATGAAGATGCTGTGCTGTTACTGCCTAGATGACCAAGCCATTCAACTTCAATGCCCTCTTCCCCGTAGTACGTTAGAAGGTGATGGGTAACCAAAAGCATGTTCTTGGGGTTAATGTCGGTCTTTGCATTAGCCGATTCCCACCCAATTCGACCAGATTGTTGGATCGGACTGTTCTCCGCCTCTCCATCAACAAAGCATGGGTTAGTTGAAAGGATGATGGAGCTTTCTGAACCTTGAGGACTCACGATCGGCGAACTCTGTCCATCTAGCATACACCGGTAGTCATCTTTCAACTCCAACTGCCAGCGCACAAACGCAGCTCGATATACGTCCAGCGGATCAGCTGACTGTACACCAGAACGCATACATTCCATGAATGCTTTGCATGGACGAATAGTGCAGCTCGTGTGACACAGTAGGTACAAGAAGCGCCCGAGTCCTGAGCCACTTTTGTGGATCTCCCAGTAGCCAGCAGCACCTGTACCGGCGGGAAGGACAGAGTGTGAGATTGCATGATTTCCTAAGAGCAAATCATAGCATGCGGATGTGATAAAACCCGAGCTTATTGCCTCGCCTAAATAGGTAGTCTATCACTTCTTTAGTGGCCTCCTTTATCCCTCCTTGCCCAAGACACCCAGGTTCATTAGCCATATAATTCTTTAGCTGTTTCATGCCTGAGAGGGCCGCGTCGTCTTGCCATAGGACATCAGAGCGCCAGTCATCAGGGTCAAATAGTGTTATCCATTCGCGGCCCTGGGAAGCCAGGTTGAACCTAAGTATCTGTAAGCACATGTGTTTATCGTAGTGGTTACCGCTTCTGTATCTCTGCGGCTGCTTCGTTCGAGAATTTGACCGCTTTTGTTTTCGCCACAGTAAGGTATGCTTCCTTAAGAGACTTAAGGGCCATGAAAACAGACATGGTGTCCATCTTGCCGTTAATGAGCTCATCGAATTGAATGATGGGCTTTATTAGACTGAGAATATCTCGGGCCTCTTGCTGGCCGCTGGATTGTAGAGCCCACTGCAGTTCCTCATGCGCATTCTTGCACATCGGAGTTAACCTAAAAGTTGTAGGCTACAGCAATGCAATGAATTTAGTTTTCGAGGATATTATTACGTTTCCCATCTTGAGTCCAGCCTGACTGTCGCTATAGTTTTCCCGAGAGCCTCAATATTTTCTACTAGCCACTCCCATGCACGTGAAATAGCTTTGCTCCCATTGATAGATGATTCTAACCGCTTCCCACCCAAGGCTTCAAATTGGAGCTCTACTTCCACATCGCTTAAGAAAGCCTTGACGCTCTGCAATTTGGACTTGCAGTTCTTGAATGGTTCCATCTTAAACAAGGCCCTCAGTAGTCGCCTGTTGTTGCTACTCATACATATGCCAGTAATGCACGGTAGATGCCCAACCGACAAACTATTTATAAAAGCGGCGACTCGCTGGGAAACCTTCTTAAGTGTCTTCTCACCGTCAGTTGTAACCGAGCTCACTCGGAGTTTATCTGAAGGTAAGTTTAGCTTACTGAGTTATGTTATGTTGTAAAAATTTCGCCTTACATGACGCGAGCTCCGAGATTACATCCTCCGTGAGGAAGTCGTAAAGCTCGTCCTCATCCAAACGCATGAACGCTCTCATTGCCACTGGAACATACACAAGCCTGTTAGATTCTTCAACTTGCGCAAAAGCTACGCAAGCGTAACGCGTCTGATAATCAGGCGAGCTCTGGCTTTTCTCCATCTTGGTCGTGCAAATAGACAGTCCTATCTGCCTATTCGACCTTACGGAAGTGAGAATGTAGGTGATCGACTGGAACTTCAGCTCCTGGTAGATGTCTTCCATGAGTCTTTTGACGTCTTCATACGTTTTTAGCTGCATTCCTCGGTAGCCAGGGCGGAGACCGTTGAGAGCGCTGATCAAAATCGGCGACCTCATCGCCTTCGCCAAGGTCTTAGGATCGGAGCTGAGCTCTATTATCGCCCATGACAAGAGCTGTCGGTGAAACTGGGCAACTTGAGATGGTATAGGTTTGCATTCGTAGAAGTCTGTAATGCGTAGTGTTCGACCCATCCCAATAGTGGGAGACCGCTTCCACTTCTCAGGCGGACTTCTTACGTCGGATGTAGTAGACCAAGTGTTCGAGCGACGCCGTTTGGTAGACGCGCTAGGCAATTCCTGAAGTAGGCCACGTTGGGTAGTGTATAGTTTTTCTGACTCCAGAGCAAACGTAGCAGCCGAACCATGTGTTAATTCTTCATCGTCAATAGGGGTTGCCGGAAAGGCGCCAAGAGGAGTTCTTCCAATTAGCTTAGTGGATACCACTGGGCTTTCATGTGCGGGCTCATGTTCTGGCGTGGCGCTTCTATTTTGAGGAACCTGTGAAACAGCTCAATCTAGGCACATTTGTTTCGCGATTCGCGACTATTCCCACTACATAAGTGTCGACGTGCATTCCGCTCTTTTGGTTTGTACTTCTGTTGCCGGGACGC